ACCTGTTGACATGCATAAAATACGATGAGCACCAATGGCATATTTGTGGCGATTTGAACGTTGTTGCACTTTTACTTGGGCTGCAGCTAGGCTACACAAAGTTTTGCTGTTTTTTGTGTGAATGGGACAGTCGGGCAAAGGCACTTCATTACACCAGACAAAACTGGCCTGTTCGTCAATTCCTAGAGCCAGGTCAAAAAAATGTACAGCATATGCCATTAGTAGATTCGAAAAAAAATTTATTACCACCACTGCATATCAAGTTGGGCCTAATGAAAAACTTTGTCAAGGCATTAGATAGAGATGGGTCAGCTTTTCAATACCTGCGCCAGAAATTTCCAAGAGTAAGTGAGGCAAAGGTTAAAGAAGGTATTTTTGTTGGGCCACAGATTAGAAATATTTTGAAAGATACACAGCTTGAAAACACTTTAACAGGTATTGAAAAAACTGCTTGGAATGATTTCCGTCTGGTGGTCACTAATTTCTTGGGGAATAGAAAAGCTGACAACTATAAATCCCTTGTCAAAAATATGCTGTCATCGTATCAAAAGATGGGCTGTAATATGTCTCTCAAGATACATTTCCTACACTCACACCTGGACTTTTTTCCTGACAATTGCGGAGCACGGCGAACGTTTTCATCAGGATATTTCAACAATGGAAAAAAGGTACCAGGGAAAGTGGAATCCTTCCATGCTTGCAGACTACTGTTGGACTCTTGGTAGAGATGCTCCAGAAACTATCCCTAAAAGAACAGCAAAAAGAAAGCGCATATAGTGATTCTTATAAGTATATGAATCTTGTTACTTTTTTTAATATATCCTTAAAACTAAAAAGTTTTTTTTCTAAACCGCAACTAATTTTTTTATTTCATTGTCATTTTTGGATTCAGCGCCCCAAAATTAACAAAGAAGTGCACTTTTCCCACAAGATACAATTAAAAAACTAAAATTTGTTGTCCAGTGTTATTTGCACGTCGCCTGAGTAAGAAGTCGCTAATCTCGAGGAAAAACCGTAAGGACCGATTACAATTTGCAAGGTTGCATCTTGATTGGAGCATCTTTGACTGGAAGAGGGTATGTTTCAGTGACGAATCCAAGTTCAATATGTTTGGATCAGATGGTGTTGATTACGTTAGACGTACTAGTGGACAGAGGTTGAACCCCAAGTACACTTTGCCCACTGTCAAACATGGAGGCGGGTCTGTTATGGTTTGGGGGTGCTTTTCGGTGTTTGGGATGGGACATTTACATAGAATAGATAACATTATGGATAAGTTTGTATACACAGACATACTAAAGCATGTCATGTCACCCTATATGGAAGACAATATGCCCTTAAGATCAATCTTATATATAATATAATATATAAACCCCATTGAAAATCTATGGGAATACTTAGATAAGCAAATACGAGATAAAAATTATTCAAACAAGGATGAACTTTTTGCCGCTTTAGAGCGAAAATGGAGACAGATTGATGAATCTTATATCAAGAAACTTCTACAATCTATGCAGCGACGATGCCAGGCGGTGAATGAATTTATTTATGTATAAGTGAGTATTATGCTATAACGAATTATGTATACATGTTGGTGTATTAATAAAACAAGTTAAAAAAGAAATATTAATTTGTCTATATACTTTTGTCCATTACTGTATATATGTCTTTGAAGCACAGAAATTACCTCATTTCAAGTACTTGTGATCTTGAATCAATGTCATAAGTTCATAGAAACTCGTGCTCTTAAACCAAGACCCCTTTTTTGCATAAACTATGTTGATGATTATATTGGTAATCATAAACTATCCATAGGTGGCGTGTCACCTTTGTTTACTTTAATTCGACGCACATTTTTCGGTTTATATTTTCAACAAATCCTTGATTATAATATAGCTTGATTATTAATATTCCACCATGTACAGCTTTCCATCCCGATGCAATATTTTCATTCCCATATTTCTATCAGCTTCAATGTATCTTCTGCTGACTACTAATTCCATTGAAAAGCTACGTTAGTCGAATAATAGATTAGGTCTGGAGTTGAATGAAATGATGAACCGTGGATCACGGTGAGAATGAAAAGGCAAGATAATACGGACCCGCGCTACCAAGTGCTACCGTGAGCTATTTGTGAATGAATAAGATCTATTGGTGCATTGTTGCCGTTATTTTCTAGAAGTACTCACTTTTGAGAAGTATATGTTATAACATTGCGATATACCTGTATAACTTCAAAGTGAGAAAGCTCACAAAATAACATTTGCCTAATTAATTTCCTGCTACTAGATTTTCTTAAATAAAATATCTCACCAAACAACAATCCAAATATCGGTGGATGATTTCAGACCAAGCAATCACACTTTTCTATCATGTTTTCTTGTGATCGAATTTCATAACAGTATTTGGGAATGATATCTTAATTGTTGAACATGAAGTTGTTGTATACAGGGTGACTTTGAAGTTGAGTCATTAATTTTCAGATAATGATTGTAGAAGGAAGATAAACCAAAATATGTGTGTAAAAATAAAAAAAAAATAAAAAAAAATTTACCTTGTTTTATAAAGTATCCTCCCGACAAGTATTTCAGTGCGGACCTGTATTTGATCGCGAGGTCTTGGAGCACCGGCATGCCGTCCCTTGTGAGGTCTTAAGTCACCTGATTCACGAGCCCGTTGTACTACATTAACAAAGGCACGAGGGGTTGGTTGCACTCGATTTGGAAACCGATCCGCATAAACATGTGCCATTTTTTATTTCGTTTGAGCCACGCAACAGACACCACTATTCACTCACGCGTTACCGACTGACACTGACTGTATACAACTGAATAAAATAATTGTAAAAACATCGTTCCAAATTCTTTCGCTTTTTTGTTTCCGATGCGATGAACCGATAAGGCGGATTATATCCGTTGTTACCAAACACGAGCACATAATATTATTATTGAGACAGGGCGGTACTCAAAGGGCTATAACTTTGTTACTTTAATTTTACCAGAAAAATGGTAAAGGAAAAACACATTTCTTTTGATCAGATTATATCAGTATATTCTAATTTAAACGAAAATAAATAGTATTGAATATGAAAACACTTTAACATTAATAGTCATGTATCAAAAGGACACGATCATTTCATGAAAGGGTCGTATTTCATGAAATAATACTATTGTGGGTAAGTATTCTAACACAAATAGCATATAACACAGTTACAATATGGCCAACTCAATTTGACATCACTGAATCGTTAAAGTTTAACGATTTGAACTTCGACGATTAACCATATTCGCAAAATTCATCCAATGCGCCCAGTGGATAGCGTCAACTCATTTTAAAGATTCCCCGACGCCAATACTCATATTCTTGACCTTTTTAACACGTTTTTAATAGCATAGTAGGCGGCGCGGATCGAACGTCAGTACTGAATCTTAACATCACTTTTTAATACACTTAAATTCAAAGTTTCACAACAATACGTGCAGTGTTCTCACTACAGTGAATTTTTAAGTGTCACCAAGTCATTAGAAAAATGGAACTCAACCGAGAACATTTTCGCGCCATAATTTATTACAACTTTCAGAGACAATTATTGCAACAAGAATGCCTTGCTGAGTTACTGTCTGTTTTGGACGGGTGAGTCTTGGCGACGATCCCAGGGTGGGTGCACCAAAAACGGCAGTCACCCAGGAAAACGTCGATGCTGTGCGCAAACTCATCACTGAAGATATACATGTGACATATCGCGAGATTGAGGCGTCCTTGAAGATCTCAAAGACCTCAATTCAAAAAATTTTACATGAAGAATTAGAAGTAAGAAAATTAGTTTCTCGTTGGATACCCCATCTGTTGACTGAAGAGCAGAAAGCAGCCAGCGTTAATTGGTGTCAAAAAATATGTACAGCATTGTTAGTGGGGATGAATCGTGGATTTACTGTTATGAACCAGAAAATAAACGACAGTCGACTGTTTGGGTGTTCCAAGGTGAAGAAAAGCCAACAAAAGTCATCAATTCTCGAAGTGTTTCGAAAAAGATGGTCGCGACATTTGTGTCAAAAGCTGGCCATATTGCAACAAAAGTCGTCACCGAGCTTCGAAAAATCAACCCCGAAAGAAGAATCATCCACCACAAAGACAAAGCAAGCTCGCACACAGCCCAAAAAAATGCAGTATTTAACGGAAGAAAACGTGGAATTATCGGACCATCCTCCATATAGTTTCGATCTAAGTCCTAACGATTTCTTTACTTTCTCGAAAATTAAAAACAGAATGAGTGGTCAAAGGTTCCAGTCACCAGAAGACGCAGTTGTCGCATTCAAAAATGCCGTTTTGGATCTGCCAGCAAACGAGTGGAATAAGTGCTTCGAAAATTGGTTCGAGCGCATGCAGATGTGTATTAATCTTCGTGGAGAATACTTCGAAAAACAAAGTCATTTAAAACTACCTACCGTGTTGTTTATTATGTATGTATGTATCGGAATCTTTGAGCATAATTTTACTCCAATTTCCAGAACTTCGCACACGTGTCAAGGACTCATGACAATGTAATAATTTGATAACAGTTATCCATCATCCTTATAAGAAAAATTCTGTAAAAAGCAGATATGTTAATAAAAAGCCACGGATTTCAAATGCCGCTTCACGAATATTATCTGTAGCTCAAGTGGCAAAGCACTGGTCTTGTAAGCCCGGGGTCGTGAATTCAATACTCTCAGAAGGTAGATTGTGGTATATCTTTTTTTTAGCACGCTTTTATTAGCTTGACCTGTATGTATGTATGTAACAAAATCTTCGAGCATAATTTTCACCAATTTCCAATTGACTAATTTGAAACTTCGCACGCGTATCAATGCAGTATCATGCCTACAAAAAATAATTGATAAATTGAACTAAAAAATGAAAAATAAATAATATTTAATTAAACCGAACTGAAAAGTAGAAAATAATTCAGTTCAGAGTAAAAAGCGTGGTGTGCATTTTAGTACATTTTCATAACTCTCCCCTCAAAGATAGTTGCCAATACGAGCCCAAACAACTAAATATTCGGTCACCTTTACGAGAGATGTCTTTTAAGTTTTGCATATGGAAATAAAACAACACGGTAGGTAGTTTTAAATGACTTTATTTTTTTCGAAGTATTCTCCACGAAGACTAATTAATACGCATCTGTATGCGCTCGAACCAATTTTCGAAGCACTTATTCCACTCGTTTGCTGGCAGATCCAAAACGGCATTTTTGAATGCGTCAACTGCTTCTTCTGTTGACTGGAACCTTTGACCACGCAGTCTGTTTTTAATTTTCGGGAAAGTAAAGAAATCGTTAGGACTTAGATCGGGACTATATGGAGGATGGTCCAATAATTCCACGTTTTCTTCCGTTAAATACTGCCTTGTTTTTTGGGCTGTGTGCGAGCTTGCATTGTCTTGGTGGAGGATGATTCTTCTTTCGGGGTTGATTTTTCGAAGCTCGGTGATGACTTTTGGCAAACAAATGGTGGTATACCAATACGCAGTAACAGTTCTTTGCTCGTTAAGAGGAATTGTTGCAATATGACCCGCTTTTGACACAAATGCGACCATCCTTTGCGAAACACTTCTAGAACGGATGACTTTTGTCGGCTTTTCTTCACCTTGGAACACCCAAACAGCCGACTGTCGTTTATTTTCTGGTTCATAACAGTAAATCCACGATTCATCACCACTAACAATGCTGTACATATTTTTTTGGTTTCCGGAATTGACACGGTCAAGCGTCTTTTGACATCCTGGCTCCTTTCTGCTCTTCAGTCAACAGGTGGGGTATCCAACGAGAAACTAATTTTCGTACTTCTAATTCGTCATGTAAAATTTTTTGAATTGAGGTATTTGAGATCTTCAAGGACGCCTCAATCTCGCGATATATCACATGTCTATCTTCAATGATGAGTTTGCGCACAGCATCGACGGGTGACTGCCGTTTTTGCACCCACCCTGGGATCGTCGCTAAGACTCACCCGTCCACGTTTGAATTCTCCATACCAACGGGAAATTGTCGACTGATGTGGCGCATCGTTGCCGAAAACAGACAGTAACTCAGCAAGGCATTCTTGTTGCGATAATTGTCTCTGAAAGTTGTAATAAATTATGGCGCGAAAATGTTCTCGGTTTTTCTAATGACGTGGTAACACTTAAGAATTCACTGTAATGAGAACACTGCACTTATTGTTGTGAAACTTTGAATTTAAGTTTACTAAAGAGTGATGTTAAGATTCAGTACTGACGTTCGATCCGCGCGGGCTACTATGTTTCTGTATGCAAAACTTAAAAGGCATCCCCGTACTTTTTGTACAAGTGGATCCACAAATTAACTGCTGCCTTCTAAAAATGTTTGGCAATCAATTTATATTGACAGATAAGCATAATAAAAAGATATTTTTAATAGCGGCTCCTTCAAATTTATTACTTCAAGACAAACGAAATCACTAAAATATCCTGAAATATGGTGACAACTAAATGTTCGGACAGGTCAAAAAGCATAACATTAGAGATAAGCAGAGACTAGCAGGCTATGCAAAAACAATTGAGGGCGATACCAATGTAAAAATACCATATGTACTTAAGGTACATCTCTAAATTAAAAAGTAGGATCGATTATGGTTAAGGTAAGCTCAGTGAAATTTGGACATGTCAATATTCGTTCCCTTGTACCTTCATTCACTGACCTGTCGGTCTTCATCAAAGAAAAAAAATTTGATGTATTTGCCCTTACTGAAACATGGCTCACTGAGATGGTTCCTTCAGATACTTTGTCTATAGGTGGTTATACATTTCATAGGAACGATAGAGACAGTAGGGGTGGCGGAATAGGTGTGTATATAACATAAATGATGATATAAATTGTGAACATATTTCTATAACTGATTATATTGGAGATGATCCATCAGTAATTGAACAATTTTGGTTGAAACTTCAATTCAAGTCGTCCTCAGTTGCCTTAGGATTGTTGTGCAGACCTCCTAAGGCTAATCTCAATTCTGCAGTTGAAACTCTGGATACACTTTTATCGCATTTGTCTACTGTTTACGACCATATTATCATATTGGGTGATGTAAATGTCAATTTGCTAAATCTAACAAAATATCTCTTTGCTTCGACTCATATTCTTTTAAACAATTGATTGACGAGCCTACAAGAATTTGTTCTTCTTCTATTACATTACTAGATCCTATTTTTGTAAATTTCCCTGAACAGTGTCATAATATTGGTGCACTAAATGTAGATGTCTTCACCGATCATAGGTTGGTTTACTGTGAAGCATCTTTTGATAAACATCAGACCACACAAAAAAATATCACTTACCGTGATTTCAAAAATTTTGATCATGACAACTTTATGGCCGACTTACTGAGTATAAACTGGAATGATATTATTTGTATTCGAGACATTGATGACAAAGTGGAAATGATCTTATCATTTCTTTGTTTGATATACATGCACCGTTGCGTACAGCGAGGGTAAGCAAACCCTTTGCTCCATGGTTAACGCAAAACTTAAGAGCTATTTTCAAGCAGAGGGATGCAGCTTTAATAAAATACAAACACAATAGGACAAATCAGAACTGGACAGAATACACAGAACTGAGAAATTATGCTCTTGCATCACAGCGTAGAGAAAAGGCTGGTTATCTTCAGCACTTACAAGAAACTAATAATTCATCTTCTTTATATAAGGGTATAAGGAATTTGAACATCCAGACTAAGAAGCGTAACCACATACCTGTTAGTTTACGTAACGCAACGCAGATAAATGATTATTTTTTATCTGTTTTTGAAGATAATACTCAGCACTGTGCTAGTGAAATAGAATTTTATGATAATAACATACTTGATGAATCGCTCAAATTTGATCTGGTCATGACCACTGAGGAAGATATACGTTCGCATTTATTTAAAATAAAATCTAATGCCTGCGGGCATGATGGTATTACGCCTAATATGATAAAACTGTGTCTTCCTGTGATTGGCGAATATTTAACGCATTTGATTAATTCTTGTTTGGAACATCACTATTTTCCCTCTGCATGGAAGCAAGCAGTAATTGTTCCCTTGGCAAAAACTAATAACCCTTCAGCTTATTCCGACTTGCGCCCAATAAGTTTACTTCCGATTCTATCAAAAGTATTGGAAAGGATAGTACATGATCAATTGAAAGAGTACTGCTCTGAGAATAACATAATTCCAAACAACCAGTCTGGCTTCAAAGTAGGGAATAGCACCACCACTGCCCTGCTTAAGGTGACTGATAATATTGTTGAGGCTTTGGATCGGGGTCAAGCAGCGGCTCTTGTACTGCTTGACTTCTCCAAGGCTTTTAACACTATCAATCATTCACTTTTGATCTCAAAATGCAAATATATTGGATTTTCTCAAGCATCTATCAAGTTCATTACTAGTTATCTCATGAATCGTATGCGAAGGGTACATTTGGACAATTCATATTCGACATATAAGAATTTGATATCAGGGGTCCCTCAAGGCTCTGTTTTAGGACCGCTATTGTTCTCCATTTACATATCAGACATGTGTAAACTGATACGCTACTCTGAAGTGATGATATGTAAAACTTTTGATCCAGATGACTGTGTAGCAGCTGTTGACGAGTTGAATTGTGACTTAGCCACTATTGTTAGTTTTTCCAAGCATAGCGCCTTAACGATGAATGCCTCTAAATCTAAAGCTGTTCTCTTTGCCCCAAAAAACAAAATCATTAATATCAGAAATAACACGACAGTACGGATTAATGACACTTCTTTAGTTTATGAGGATCTTGCAAAAAATTTGGGTGTCTTACTTGACAAGGATTTACGTTTTCGTGAGCATATATCTAAATTAGTAAGAAACTGCTTTGTTGTACTAAACAAATTGTTTGTTAATAGGCATTTCATCAATTTCAAATTGAAAAAACATCTTTGTGAAATCCTGGTTCTCTCAAAGTCAACTACTGCCTTATAGTTTTCTATCCTTACTTAGATCAATTCGCAGACTTCAACTGATTCAAAATTCGTGCTGTCGCCTCATCTACGGTTTAAGAAAATATGACCATGTTTCACACTGTATTCGTAGTTTAAAATGGTTAGATATTAATAGCTCTTACAAGTATCTTATCTTGAAGTTCATTCATAATTTGATTATCACGGGAACTCCCGAATACCTCTTCAAAAAAATTGTTTTCAGGCAATCTGTTAGAGATCGCATGCTCAGGTATGGCAAATTATTAGATATTCCACGGCACCGTACGGCTTTATTTATTCGATCTATAATTGTGTCAAATCGTATAACGTGCTACCAGATGCATTCAAAAATTTATCTCAAACTAAAGTTCGTGTCAAGCAGCATTTGCTATCAAAAATGACTCGTAGTAGTAATTAAGTAGTAGTTTGTAGTTTAGATTAGTAACCGCCAGAAAAATTTTATTTGACGTGTTGCTGAATCTGTTTATATTTTTAGATTGTCTTACAATATTTTTGTTTTCGTTTGGTTAACCACTGTATATATATACATGTTAATTACATGTATTTACATTGGTTCACAACCATGAAAATAATAGGGTTAAGTAGAAGAGTAGCTATTTAGCTAAACGTCGCCCGATACTATGTAAATTTATAAATAAAGACGATTTATTATTATTATTATTATTATTTATTTCAACGCCGTTAGAAATTGTATTTAGTATCTAATTGTATTTTCTTGTTGGTAATTTATATTCATGCGAAAATGGTGCGAGGTGTAGCCACTAACCAGAAAGTAAGGCAAATTATTATTCAGCAATTTTGCAAAGGCAAGCAAGTGATCTTGTTATCCCTAAGTCTACAGTTTCGGACATTATAAAAAAGTATGGCGAAACCGCCAGTACTGATGTGCGCGGTAAAAGTCCAGTACCTATATAGTGTAATTTCCCAAAGGTATTATGGTGCGGGGCTGTATGTCTGCAGTTGGAATGGGACGTCTTCATTTTATAGATGGCACAGTAAATGCAGCTAAATACCAAGAAATCCTTGAGAACACATTATTGCCTGCCATAGCAGACTTATATACTGACGGAGATTGCATTTATCAGCAGGACGGCGCATCATGCCACACTGCCAAAGGCACAAAACAATGGTTTGGGGATCATGACGTACATGTCCTCTCTTGGCCCGATTTAAATGTGATAGAAACGGTCTGGCACAAAATGAAACAACATTTGGGAAACCAACCTCAGAGAACAATCGCTGAACTGCGTGTGAACTTGCAAGAAATTTGGAATTCGTTTACACAAGAAAACTGTCAAGCATTAGTTAAGACCATGCCAAGAATTGAGGCGCTAATTAAGGCAAGAGGCGATGTAACAAGTGATTAAGTTACATTTTGTAGTGTCCGAATATTTAGTTGCCACATATTATTGAGAAATTTAGTTTTTTTTTGTTAATTTAAATTACTTATCAAGAAAAACAAAATCGAAAATAGGTCACATGTTGTATAAACTGTCAATAAAAGTTTTCGGTAGAAGTATTTTATAGAACAATTTGCACAAAACTTAAAAGTGTCAGAATATTTAGTTGTTCGGGCTCGTAGAATAATTGTAACATTCAATATATCAAACACCCCACGTTTTTTACTCTAAATTGAATTATTCTGTTAATACCTTAAATTTTATTACACCTATTTTTTGTCTTTAAAGATATAACTGAAGGAATCGCCCAACGTTGGTCAACACTGTAGGAAGCACTGTGCCTCCCCTAATAACTAGAATTAGATATGTATATCAAAATTTTACAGAATGTATGTAAATAACATCTCAATTGTCTATTTTTTCAACGGTTATATTAATTTTGATCAAAATGATAATTGAATAATTCCGTAAGGATCATCGTAAAACAAGCACAGGATTTTTGTGACCTTGAATACACATCTGAATCGTTTCTCACCTGCAGATCAAACTTATCTAGGTACTTAACATATATGTAGATCCGATAAGCTTTTATTTATTGAATAAACAGTTTATGAAGATTGTCTATCTCAATATGCTCTAAACCTCGCGTAGTGGTAGAATTGATAACAAAACGAATATAACATTAAACGATATTGCTCTTATCATTTATCATATCTGAAATTGATTCGTCGTTTTAGTTATTTGTCCAATCATCATAGTTTCATTTAAACGAACAATAAAAATTTGTCAACAATGACATCGACTGATTCAATGGAGCAACATTGTCTCTCAGTGTTTTGCGGTAGATTTGTATTGGAACAGAACTCTCATGTTGCAATTTTTAATATCTGAGAAAATGCACTATGCAAGATCTGATTTCACACAAGACGGATATGCAATCTAGAAACCATAAACTCACAATGTAGCATCTATAACTTATGCTGTGGTTTACATGCCGATATACCGCCATGCTTGACTGGCCAAAGATCTTCTTCAGTACAATGACAATATATTTAATTTATCTGTCTTCCAGGGGACAGTTCGTTTGTTTTTTCTTTGCATTATCACATTCCCATACTGTGTGTTACTACAATAGTCAGAAAGTCCAGTAACATGTTGAGATTGCACACGAATTCATCTCTCCGATTTTTAATATGGCACCATGCAAAACCTGCATAAGGCAGGACCGGGGGGTAGGCATTCCTGCCACCAAAAAGAACGTCCAACCCTCCATAAAGGCAAGCAAGTATGAGGCTAGCTGTCGTTTTTTAATGTACCAGATACGTCACCCCCGTCCATCGTCCCGAAAACACCAAAATCCGAAAACGCACCAAGAACTTCCAAGGATGAAAAAAGTTTACGAGGTCACATATTTACTTGGAACGACAATGTGATAGAAGCTATGGAAATATGGTTTGCGGACCAAGGAGAAAGATATTTTTGATATGTTTATAAGCTCTACATGATCAATGTAAGAAGTGGGTTTAGTTCAAAGGGGACTATGTTGAATAACAAAATATTTTCAGTCAAAATTTTCAGTGTTTCAGTAGTGGGCTAAGAATATATCAACATCCCCTCGTACATATCTAAGACTTCCATAACGAACAGTTGGCAACGGCGCGTTTCTAAAACGGTAGCAAGAACAGTTTATAATGAATTCATGGTTGCAGTCGGCGACCGACGGTGTTCATTCATGTTTTGGCTTATTACTGCGATATTGCCATATTAAGTAAGTTTATGTTACAATCGTAAAAAAATATTCCTATCTCAGTGTTTACTATCAATGATACGGCTGAATAAAGCTTTATAAACAGCAATGTTTTTTTTTTAACAAACGCTGATATGATATGAATCGATATGTTTTGTTTTGGAAATACAGGGTGGCGCATCGAAAACGAAACAGACACATTTACTGGCAGCTCAGTTTTTTTTTAAAAACGCTCAGACCCGTCGATTTTGTTTTCGGCAAAAAATCACGTTAGCACGTGCAGCCCCCTAGGCGGGGGTGACCCCACCCCCAAAATATTAAATGGAAAGGGGGGTCGAGTGATACCTTATTTTAAAGG